TGTTCCGGTCTGAAGGGTAACGAGAGCCTGAACATAAGTACAGGCTGTGATTATGTTTAGTCTTCAGAAGTGACATCGCGCCTGTAACCAACTTTGATAAAGTTTGCTGCAGGTGACCACGGAGTGCATTTACTAACCACTTACCATATTATCAGATTATACCATAGCTTTGAAACCATCAACCTGACAAAATAAATATATAGTGTGCATATGACCGCAATCGGTCTAGTCGTAACTAATACACTAGTACAAGTAAGTCTAGTTAGTCACAAATACAACGCACCTGACTGCCTCGTTGGCCTAGTGGTCACAAACGCGATCGCTGATGAGGTACCGGGTTTGAATCCCGGGTCGGGCCAAAATCAATTATTAGGTTTTTCTGTCAAGAAATTCTCCGTAGCAGCCCGTAGTTAGTGGTCTCGGATAGCACGCAAAGACGTAGGTCCTGCGCCTGATCTCTCTTCAGTCGTGGCGAATTATCGTCCCATCGGACTTCGGACAGTAACAGAATAGAGAGTGTACCTGTGCTTGTGCATAGACTTGGGCAATATAATCCTGACCTGCGCAGATCGCTACTATCCGCCAGAACTGACCACGCACCCGTATATATAAAAAGCATCAACGGAATCTAGGGATACCTTAATACTAATTTATTTACGACTTTATAGTTTAAAATCTTTTTAGTTTCCATAAAAAGTTTATAAACAGATTGAAACATCGATCACTAATAAGTAGCTAAGTTAGTATATCTACTATTACGATACTATTTATTTATTTATTTAAAAACTTGCATGTAACACCTTAAGCTAAATGGTACATAGGGCGGACTTAATGCCATGTGGCATTCTCTGCCAGTCAACCCTGGGTGCCAAGGACAATTGTTGGCAGGTGCGACCATTATACATAAATAAGTGAACATACATACACATACAATAAAATATACATATATGCAAAGTACATACATATATATATATATATATATATATATATATATATGTGTGTACTTTGCATATATGTGTATATATATATATATATATATATATATATATATATATAATATACATACATGCTTATAAACTTTGTAAATAAATATCCAAATGAATGATATATATAATATAATATTTGAATAATATATTGGTTGGGCGGCGGGCCTAGGGGTTCCCGAGTTCGATTCCCAGGTCGAGCCTTGACTCTATTGGGCGAGATAGGTGCGGAGTCCTTACTTTTTTTTACTCGTCCGTGGGTTTGCCATATTAACCAGGCTTGGTAATGGTTGTTAAGTGTTAATATGTGTGTAATGTCTACATTTTATACGAAAATTTTTTGCTTAGTAATGTGTAAAATCTGCACATGAAATGTGAAAAGTAATTTTTCCTATAGTTAGTCAAATACTACACATCTGACTCAGTATTCATCTAACACTATTGTTCTTTTTGTACACATTTTTGTTCGGCTACTTCTAGCCCAGAAGCAGACCGGCCACACGGTCACTATAATATTATTATCCGAGGTTTAATCACCACGTTTTAAATTACTCTGTTAATGCCAAAACAATCAGGCAATTCGCAATGTTGTGATTTAAAGTATAATTAGCGAAACGTGTTTGCAATTGTTTATTGAGAACATCAAGTGCTGAATCATTATTTCTCTTATATATTTAATGACATTTTAATTCAAGTAACTAATATTTTGTAAGTTACTAGCTTTGATTATATACAGGTATATAATCAAAGGTCAAGGTAGTCTGGAGGTACTAGAATACTAACGTGTAGTTTTTTTTTTATAAAAGTCCATCTAAGTCTATGCGCCTCACCTGATGGTAAGTAACTTACTACGCAAGCTGATCTTTTTATAAGATAATCTCATCCCCGGTACTGGACACCCTTCAGTTTTAATAAGTTAAAAGTAAGCGACAAATTTTCAAAAAGCGCGATAAACAATTACAAAATATCCGCATTATGCAAGATCAGAGTTATTGTTAATATCATCTGACTTCACAGAAAAGATATAAGAAATTAAAGAAGACTTACTTAGGTCGTAGAGAATCACAAAAATCACAGAATATTATCGTAAAATATCTCAATGTTGCTGTGTTTCGTATGGTGAGTGTAGAGAACCGGAGAGTCTTTTTATTGAGAACGAGGCATTCCATCTTATCCCTCGGGGGTGATAATGGATTTGCCACAGCATCCACATACTATTGCTCGTTTGTCACCCTTATTCTATAAAAAAGAATAGAGTTTATCCAGAATAAAGTTTATCCAGAACCAAAGCTGTGCATGTAATATACCGGAATGGAAGAATAGTATATTAGAGCCAAGAAACAGATTAAAAAACTTGTAGGGTGTCAAGAGAGTACACGCAAGAAAAAGCCCCGAGCAAGTATCGCGTGCATCTCCCAAGATTACGCCCGTGTGACCAGAAGGTCGGTAGTCCACCTGATCGTAAGTGGATGCTGTGGTTCATAAAAACTACATCTATAATCGATTAAGAATCGAAATATAAATGCGTAATCGTCGAGTTTGTGATGTCTCGTTACCATCAATACACAGCAGCACTTTTTTGTTATTTAACACTAGTATTCTGTGAGGATGTGGTACTTTCCCGGTAGAGGAAGCTCCATTCGTTTTGCAGCATTGATAAAGTTGCTCTACCACTCCTTTATTTAATTTTCGGAGATTTGTAAGTTTTATTGACGCTTTGAACGTAATTTATACAGAAGTTACCACGGACAATTCAGCAATAGTATTGATTTGGATTGTACAAAAGAAAAGACGTCCGTATATATTCAGCAGTGTATGGGCTGTAGTAATGATGCTATACCGCCACTGATCTTGTAGTAAGAGTACAATTTCACCACGGATAACTAGTTCGAATGTCGTAGGGCCCAATGTTTACGATAGCAGACGTGCAGACGTTTGAGTAGACCTTACATAACTATACAAAACCTATAGTTTTAAAGAAATAAAAATATATGCCTGTGCAGTGAGCTGTAAGCATATCCACTATCCCGTGTCATCTTCTGGGTGTCGTAAGAGGCGACAGAGGGTAAATGGACAAAAGAGGTGTGTACAACTGCACATAATAAAAAAGTCGTTGTTGGCAACTCGCCTGCCAAGCGTGTTAACAATCTATAGGGCAGGCCTATGTTCAGCAATGGAATTTTGATGGACTTTAATGAATTAATAAATGAATGAAGCTAAAAAGGACTCATCTAATTTTTTTTATAAGATTGAAGTGTGTTTACCGATCGGCTCGATTCACTGGCGCTGCGAAGAGATGTTGCATCTCTTTGCATTTTCTTTCGCATCTACCACGGGGAGTGCTCTGAGGAATTGTTCGGATTAATCCCAGACACCAAATTTTATGAACTCACTACGCGGCAAACCTCCCGATACCATCCACACCATCTGGATGCTTGGCGGTCCACCACTGTACGTTTCACTAGGAGTTTTCTTCCGCGTACGACCTCTCTGTGGTATAGTTTCACACCGGCGATTTTTCCGGACCTATACGACATAGGGACCTTCAAGAAAAGAACCTACTTCTTTCTAAAAAGCCAGCAACGCACCTGCAATTCCCCTGGTGTTGCGGTTGATCATGGGCGGCGGTAGTCACTTAACATCAGGTGAGCCGCATGCTCGTTTGCCCCCTCTCTTATATAAAAAAGTGTAATAAATACAATCCACCTGATGGTAAGTGGTAAGTACAGTCCATACTTAAAACAGAGAATGCTATTGATGCATGTTTACCTCTGAAGTTGTAAGATGGAATGTCTCACGGACTGTGATCATACGGGCTAGCTGCAAGCACTGCTATTTTCTTCATTTTTATTAGCTCCTAATATAGGCTTTTTAATAAAATGTGAGAACAACAAATACATTATAAAATTAAGATTTAACGGTTTAATTACTTCGTTTCCAGATGGCAACCATTCTACGCTGGTAATCTTTTTGAGGGAAGGACAACCTTCACCGTTTAAGCGACAGATTAGCAACCGCAATACTGCTACCACCATTGATTTATATAGTTTTGTATAACTCAATGGCTACCACAAATAATTTTTTCCGGTGTATATCCTCTCTCATTGTACATTTCTTACAGCTGTCGTATACAACATGGCCATCTTTGAGAGAATGAGGGTTTAAAAAAAAGTTTTTTACGTGGTAGAGCCATGCTGCAGTTATATTAGTAGTATAGTTGTAGCACGAATGGGTCGGCTCGACCGGGGAAGGACCACGCTCTCACAGAATACCAGCGTGAAATAGTAGCTTAATGCTGCTATATTTCGTATGGTGAGTGTAGAGAACCGGAGACCCTTTTTACTGGAAATGAGGCATTCCATCTCAGTCCTCGCGGGTGACAACGCATCTGCATTTTGATTTGTAATGGAAGATAGATGTAGATGTCTATGGGCCGCAGCAACCACTTACCATCAGGTGGACTGTGTGCTCGTTTGTCAGCCTATTCTATAAAATAAAATAAATAAATAAATAAGTAGTCTCGTTAAGGGAGGTGAGCTACGCTTCTCCAAACTTTACGCCATAATATGGTGCTCTGCCCTCTTGTATTATTATTGACGCGTTGTCGTTTAAAACGTGACTTTGGCAACCTCACTTATTATGTTTCTTATTTTTAAACCGTTTACCCCAAACTAAGATTTACTTATATATTCGCGGAGGCAGTTAACATACATAAATTGCACAAGAACAAACACCCAGACCCGGTATTATTACTTGTAGGCCATACAAATATTTGTTCCGTACGGAATTCCAACCCGCAGCCCTCAGCGACGCAATTCAATGAATAGAGCGACAGATTCGCTGCGGTCGAATTCACATGTGCGAAGTTACTTGCGAAAAAACAACGCGTTGTATAATGGGCAATAATGACAATCGTTAATTCAATTAACGATATTGTTATTAAGGAATGTATTTAAACACGTTAAATAATTGTAAGCATACACGTAGATTGCTTTAGTCGTGGTCAGACGTGTGAAAATGAAGGCGTTCATGGTAAGTAACAGTATCAAAATATTTTTTTAAACATACTTTATTTTTAAATTTTTATAGTTACGATAGTCGACAGATACTCATCTCTTTGGACGATTTTTCACGGAGTCGAACTAAGTCAGAACATGCTAATTATCTTATACTTAGAGCTTTAATTTAAGGACAATTGCCAATTAAAGACTTTGTGTAGTAACTTGCACAAGTACTCACGTAAATTATTTTGATTATTAAGACGTTTAAGTATTAATTTTTGCAATTGACGGTAACCTGAGAAGTGATCAGAGTGTCTCAAAAAAAAAACGGACACAGTTTACCTGATGGTAAGTGAGTGATGTGGCCCATAGACGTCTACATCAATTCTCGATTAAAAGTCAAAATACTGATGCTTTGTCACCCCTGAGGACTGAGATGGAATGCCTGGTTTCCAGTAAAAAGGGTCTTCAGTTTTCTACACTCACCATACGAAACATAGTAGTATTAAGCTTTTATTTTACGCTGGTTTTCTTTGAGAGTGTGGTCCATCTTCTACATCTATTACTACTATCATACTTCACTCCTATCATAATAGTGCAGCAAGGTTTAGTCATGTATAATTTTTAATAATTTAGTTATTGGTAATCGAACCTTAAATGGTTAAAAATCTGTTTTTATGATACAACGTTTACTGGATATTTATTATAGGCGCGGAAACTGTAAGTCCACTACTTACTACCAAATTAATAACGTCTTAAAAGAGTTTCTTATGATTTTAAGTTTTTGCCCGAACATTTAAAATTTTAAAGTTGTGGAGTCGCACTGCAATTTTGTTGTGGCTGTAGTATGGAAGAGTCGGTTCGACCGGGAAGGACCACTCTCGTACATAGTACGAGCGTAAAATAGCAGATAAATATTGCTGTTCGTATGCGAGTGACAAGAAAGAGAACCTTTTTACCCGACTGTCTCAGAATGAGAGTAATGTTTTTCATGCGTATGTATGATGTATGTAGGTATGTCGATTTCTGAGGCTATATGGATTTTTACACGTGGGGTGTCGTTAGAATAGTTTTAGTTGTAGAAGTAACATAATAAAGTTATAAAAAATTCTGTTTTTAAACGACTTGAAAAAAGGAGGAGGTTCTCAATACTTTTTGTGTTTAACTTTTTATGTGTAACTTTTTATGTGTAACTTTTTATGTGTAACTTTTTATGTGTAACTTTTTATGTGTAACTTTTTATGTGTAACTTTTAATGTGTAACTTTTTATGTGTAACTTTTTATGTGTAACTTTTATATGTGTAACTTTTTATCTGTAACTTTTTTATGTGTAACTTTTTTCTAGGCGAACCGATTTGGATGATTCTTTTTTATTTGAAAGCTGGTGCTTCTCATGTGGTCCCATATATTAATCAAGATCTGACCAGTAGTTTTTGAGTTATCCTTGATAATGCGTATTTAATCGTCTTCGTCTACATTGATGACATTCTCATTTTATTTATATTGAAGTCAATTATACAAAATTTTTAATTTTACCACTTGTCAGTAAACTTATTTACGAAGTCGGGTGTTTTTGAATTATTATTTTAACCATTGGGCTTGTTATTATCCATTTTAATTCTTGGTGATTCTTACTTATGGATAGAGTAAAACGTCTATTAGTTTCAAGCATCTACGTACAAATCAGTTAGACCGTGTACTCGTTTGACACACTTACCTTTATAGTAAAAAAACTTTTTATTGCTATTGTGATGAATGAAATTATGTTTTTTACAGATAGTATTAACTCTGCAACTCTTCAACTGTATAAGTAATGGACATATCTTAACCAATAAAGACGTAAGTAATATTTTTTACCGATTGACGATCGCGTAACTACATCGCAAGTCCTAGATTCGAATCTCATCTGGGGCCTACTGTTGTGCAAGTAACACAAATCGTTGTTTTTTTCGGGATAGGATGTGATTTTTTAACTTATAATCCCACCTGGTGGTAAGCTGTAATAAAGTATGTTATGATGATTATCTAAGATATGATAAACTTTTAAAGTATTTGTTATGTACATTACCTAAAGAATGATATCCGCAGTTTTTAAAATATTTACAGTTATTTTAAGGGAGATGTTGCTGTCAACTCCTGTTTTTAGTTAAATTAAAAAAAGCGGGAGCTTGTGAATTTTACAGCTTCATTTGATCACTGATATCGCGGCGTTTCTCGAGGGTATTACCATATAAGTTATCGATAATGGAGTCTACAGGAGAATTATATCGCTACAATATGTGACGCAGTAACTTATCATAATATAAACTTTGTATTGAGGATTCCAGCATGAAGAACAATACTCAAGAATAGACCTCACCAGAGTCTTTCTCTTTTTCCAGCAAACACAAAAAACAAAACCTAGCACTTTATAAGCTCTTTCAGTTATGAATTATGATATTAATATGTGATCCTGAGGTCTTGACCTTGAATCCCGGGTCGTGTCAAAATTAATTAAAGGTTTTTTCTGTCATGAAATGCCCAGTAACTTCCCGGTGTCAGGAAGCTGGTGTTGTTTCACCCTGTGTCTTGGAAAGCACGTAAAGTCGTTGATCCTAAATCTGATCCGATCTGAGAGTGAGAGAATGGAGGAAGGACCTGTGTTTGCGCACACAACTGGGCACTATAACTGCCTTGCGCAGTTTGCTAGTCTCCGTTAAGACCGCCTATACACGACCATACATATATCAGACCGAATTGCCGAAGCCGCCGTGACCTATTCTTCTTCTTCCTACTCCTAAGAGGTTTAATCGTGAATTTGCTGCTCACATAAGTTAATATTTTCAGAGAAATTAATAAAACAAACCGTGAAGTGTCGATGTAAGAATATCCACTACCACATATCCACATATCATCCCGTGGGTGTCGTAAGGAGAGACCGGGGGGGAAAAATCAGGAGATGGGCAGCGTCTTCCTAGTAGAGACTAAAATAGAAAACTGCGGTTGCCAGCTCGATAAGTGTGGCAACTATGGCAAATGTTCCCCATATGGGGCTCTCTGTGGGGGAGGCCTGTGTTCAGTAGTGGAATTTAATTTGCTGTAACGGAATATAGCGAAATGTTTATAATATAAGATGATAGTTAACGTCATTTAAATTTTTAGGCTGCTTCATCATCGGGCAGATCAAAAAAATCACCGAATTACTACTACTACCAGGTAAGTTTCATATTGACTTAAATCCAACAGGGGGATTAAAATTCTTCCTCGGATAAATGGTTTTTGCAATAATAATTTAATAATTTTTTTAACATTTTCAGAACATCCCACTGGCGCCCATACCATCTTCGTTTGGTGTTAACTACTTCCCGGCGTATCTTCAGCCACCAACTCGTCCTCATGCTCCGGTTAGTTCTTTGTTTTATATTTACTAGGAATATTATTAATGTTATAATATATTTGTTTGTCGTATAGGGGTGGTTAAAAGAATACATCATCCCATTTCGTCCCGTGAGTGCAGTAAGAGGCGACGTGGGAGATCCAAGAAATATCTCATGGCCTCGATGGCGGTATTTATATGTGGTACAGCCACGCTGTAGCTGTATTATTGTTGTAGAATGGGTCGTTGCCATCTCTGAGGACTAAGATGAAATGCCTCAGTTTCAGTAAAAAGATTCTCCGGTTCTCAATACTCTCTATATGAAACACAGCGAGCTGCTATTTTCAGCTGTTATTCTGTGAGAGCGTGGTCCTAACCCGGTTGAGTCGACCCTGTCGTGCTGCAACCATAATATAGTTGCAGCGTGGTTCTACCACGTATATATAAAAGTCTTGCTATTTTTCATAATCACAACCCATTAAAGTCTGTGGCAGATCTCATAAGGGAGACTGCCACAGTTGCAATCGCAGTTTTTTGTATTATTAGGAAGACGCTGCCGCCCCTCACCTAATTTGATTCCCTCTATAGCCTCGTAAGACGACCACGGGATGATATAGGGTAGTGGATATTCTTAAAGTATCATTACACGGTGTCCATTTTTACTTAAGTTTAATTTAAGGGGGAAATATAACCTCAAATGGCTTAGCAAGATCCTCCGTTATGCCGAAAGTATTGCAGCATTAATTTTGAAATAAATATATGGTAAAGTTGAGGATTAATGTTAAGGTTTATGTTAGACGAAAACACGATTCCGTAAAATTTTCTCGATAGAAAAAAAATCCAAAGTTACCTCCAAACTGAACAATAATTTACAATAATTCCTGCTCCGCAGGAACCAAGCTTACGCGCCGATAGTTTAGGTAATTTCTTTTTACAGTGAAAATAATGATATTTTAAAAAAAGTAAATAACATAAGCACTGCTTTATGGTTAGTTCAGTTAGTATGCAAAGTTTCATGATCTTATTTAAAGTATTTTATGAATAACAGCGGTTTATTGTTCAGTTTGGAGGTAACTTTGAATTTTTTTTTCTATCGAGAAAATTTTACGGAATCGTGTTTTCGTCTTACATAAACCTTAACATTAATCCTCAACTTTACCATATATTTATTTCAAAATTAATGCTGCAATACTTTCGGCATAACGGAGGATCTTGCTAAGCCATTTGAGGTTATATTTCCCCTTAAGGCTTACAAAAATTGTGGTTAATAATGTATATTATTATCCACGGCATTACAAACGCTCGTTCGCCTGTTTCAAGCTTAGACTAAAGCCCATTGTAATGCCCAAAATTCAAAGATTTGACGTTCTCACTTTTAATGGTCCTTTTAGGGATCGGATTATTGGATATTTCTAGTTTTCTATGTGGGTATTAACAGAGTGATCGAACGGAAACTTCATACAAACGTCTAACAACGCATAAGCGAGCAGTGACGACTTTTAGTATTTAGAAATAAAAAATAATTTATTTAAACTGACAGAGTTAGCACTTAATTAAGAACAGAAGAATAATTATCTTAATATCTACGTATCCTAGTATTTATACGTATAATAAAAGTACTTACTAACCACTTACGACTATTTGGTTCTTTGATGCGCGGACTACATTTAATGCGCTTTCAAAGCATATGTTTGTATGCTCGGTAATTTTCACCCACGAATACAAGCGCGGGGTTCACCTACAGTAGCAGACAGAAAACAACGCGATGATTGCGTCCGTAAGGCTAAATATCGCATTACTGTCTCGAAGGTGAATCCCGCGCTCGTGTTGGGAGACACTTGAATGAATTGTATAAAGCTTTAGCACACTCATTCACTCATATTCATTAAATTTATCATTATATTTGATGAGAAAGCAAAACATATCCTTATGTGATATAGGCCAAATTTTCCGCCGTCATTGTCAATGCTATTGTGAATATTTTTTACATGTAGTTAATAGTTGCATGTGTTGATTTACAGAAAACTGAAATCAAAACTCCATCCTTATTAAGCTCAGTAGTACAAAGAAAAGCAAATACTATTTTAAAACACCTTTACGCTAAATTTAATCGTATACTGAAACCGCTCGAATCGAAATCTCGAGTGCATGGAGCGAGGGAACCTGTGAAGCTTAGATACAACTTTAATGTAAGTAACATTTTGGATTTTGAGTTTAGTTTAGAGCCGAGGCGGCATCAAAGCCGGTGAATTGGATAAATGGCGCAAATATGAGTCTCTGGGAGATGACTACACATTTTTGGATTTTGGGGTCCGTGGGATCTCTTCCATCGTCTGGTGGTTGCCGGTGGTGACAAGACGGCTGGTTCTTTTCTCGGCCACAGGCTGAGTATAGTATAGCTATTTAAGGAGGAATACAGCCAACACTATACCACACTGATCACCGCTATATAATGATAATTTAAGTTCTTATAGTTGTATTTACTGTATAATTTGATAAATAAATAAATATAAAGTTTCGCAGTTCTTTTAACGATAAGAAAGTTAACGTGGGCGTTACTGGGCCATAACATAATATTAAAGTTTGGTACTTGAAGTTATATTAATGCTAAATTAAATTAAGGCTAAATTAAATTACATACTTAAGCTTAATTTAATTACATACAAATCAAATTACATTCGAAGTACGTAATTTAATTTATCCTTAATTTAATTTAATTTTTAATTAACTTTAGCATTAATATAATAAAACTTTAAGTATGTGTACCAAACTTTATTGTTAATTATTACAGATAAATTTTTCGTAAGTTATGCCTTGTATATATATATGACACAGCTTGTCTCTTTTGTATATATATACATACACGACACAACTTTCTATACAATTTTTGAAATATTTGTTTTATATAATACCAGTTTTGTGGACCAAATAAACAGAAAAAGAATGGTGAGTAAAATAGAATGTAAATGCATTTTGTATTTAGCGTTATAGAAAAACAACAAACAAAACTGAATGACTGCTATATATACATACACACACACACACAAAAAATATATATATATATATATATATATATATATATATATTACTAGCTGTACCCCGCGGTTTCTCCCGCGTATATACACGTTATACAGAAAATTTAAATTTTATCCACTTACCCTCCCCCCCCTATAATTTAGCTTTCTATTGGTAAAAATTGATTAAAATCGGTCTAGTGGTTTCGGACTTATTTGGTACAATAAACTAACAAAAACATCTTTCCTCTTTATAATATTATACAAAAGACACCGCTGTCGATATGTCGCAATACCAATAGTTTGCACTGCGTGGCAACGTCGCTTTTTAATGTTCAAGGATTCAAGTTCATTGAATCATTGACTTAGTGACCCAATTCTATAGTGTTCAAATTTGCTTAAAATTAAAACTCTACTTTTTGACCTAATTACTGGACCGATTACGTTCATTTTTTGTATATCGTCAGCAAAGGCGATAACAAGTATATGGTTTCATTTCTTGCATATATGTGGGACCCGTTCTGTATATAAGTATAGATAATGATAAGTATGATGAAAAGTAGTTATTGTGAGATAACTATAATAGTTAGACGTATGGTATTGCAGACTTTTATGTAGATATTGATGTCCTCCATAAAACTGTAGCACATCACTTTGCTCTGTTGTCAATAGTTTCCGCAGGGTACGCTATATAAGGTTTTTTTGGTATTTTTTTCACACCTTGGGTTACATTAACGAAGTTTTCATACGGATTCCTAAATTTTTTGAAAATGTTCTATCACCTATGTTCATCAGGAATAATGTAGGATTCTAATGGTGAAAAAATTTTTCAAATCGTTTCAGTAGTTTCAGAGCCTATTCAATTCAAACAAACAAACAAACAAAAAAATCTTTCCTCTTTATAATATTAGTGTAGATAGACCAAATTACTAATAAAATATTTTATCGACAGGTAAATTCAACTATTCAAAACGCAAGGGAAAGGGACAGTATTGATTTAAACAAATTAAACGAATATGAACCAGTTAAATTAAAAACATCAGTTCCTGACGAAGTAAAGGGAAAACCATTTGTAAACAGTCCTCAAACGACTATCCTTATTCCACTTTCAAATATAGAAGTGAAAACTAACAAGAAAATGTCACCTAAGGATGTAAAGCAAGAAAGGGATAATATGTTTCTTAAAACAAATGCACAGCAATCAATAAATGATAAACACCATGATGTTATTACACTACGAACTGACGGAACGAAGGACAATGACAATGGATATTCCTGGAATGTAAGTAAAACACAGTACCTTTGAAAAAAAATATACGTAGATAATTTTCCTTTTCACTTGGCTGCAAAGTTTTTGTTACTCAATTTAAAGAATACTATTTTTTGTTTCATCTCAAGGTAGTATGACTGATTCTATGTAGTATTAAGTTTCACAGTTTAGACACCAATTTATGCACTACTGTAATTAAATTAATATTTGGATATATAAAAAAGGGTTTTAATACAAGTTAGTGTATCGATCATTAAAATATTATTGTCTACTGCTGCGCATTGGCCTTTAAAATATTAAGTGAAAAATTACGACAAGGATACTTACGAAATATAAATAAATAAATAGACTATAAGGCTTTGCTTCATTCAATTACATGTATACCTCGCAGTGCATTTGTCATTGTTGATGTCACAGGTAATTAAATAAAGCAGGGTGTTTTCTGTTATTTTGGCTAAAAAACAAATTTTCCAGCAATCACCCTGAACAAAGTTTGATTAACTTCTTTGAAATAAGTTTATTTTGTAGAGTAATTAAAATATACCTTTAATTACAGCTCATCCCGGAAATAGTAAAAAATGAAGTTACGAGACAACTAGAAGAAATTTTAACAAAGTATCAACGCGATAAAATTAACGATAGCAAAGAAAAAATAATTAAAAGTAACAAGCCAAATGATTCAGTAGACAATCAGGAAAACATTACATTTAATGTTGACGACAAAAACAAAAATGAAAACGGGTCAAAAAATAAAGAAGATGCTAAATCGGATTTTAGTAAATTTATAGGCATTAATCACTTTGCTAACATATTTGTATTTTACCCGAATGAAGATAGAGAATCTATAATCGTTAAGTTAACTGAAAAACTAAATAAACAAACGCAAGATTCTGATAAAAATAAAGTTGTTTCTTATAAGGAACACAGTCAAATAGCTCCCAATAAGGAGAAAATTATAATTAATAAAGATAAGGATGAAAATAGTACAGTTTCTGATACAGTTGATGAAATTTATCATAAAAAAGACTTTAATGGGAATGAGAGGTTCGGTGATATTACAAAAGAAAGGGATAAAGAGCCAGTACATTTTATGGCTGAAAATATTATTGAAACGCCAACTGAAAAATTAAATGAAGAAGCACAAAATTCTAATGTAAATAAAACTGAAGCAGTTTCTAATGAGAAAAATAGTCAAATTCCTGCTGAAAAGGAGGAAACTATTATTAATAATGATAAAGATGAAAATAATACTGTTACTGATAGAGTTAATGAAATATATCGAAATGAAAACTATAACAAGAATGTCACGTCCGATTACATAACAGAAGAAAGGGATGTAGGGCGAGTCGAATTTACTTCTGAAAGTATTATTGAAACACTAACTGAAAGAACAAATGAAGATACGCAAGATTCTGATGTAGCCACAGATGAAATAGTTTCTTATAAGGAAAACAGTCAAATACCTGTTAAAAAGGAAAAAACTATTATTAATGTTGATAAAGATGAAAATAATACAGTTATTGATACAGTCGATAAAATTAACCAAAATAAAGAATCTAATGAGAATAGGAGGTTTAGTGTCATTGCAAAGGAAAGGGATGTACATCTAGATTTTACTACCGAAAGTACTATTGAAACGCCAAATGAAAATTCAAATGAAGAAAAGCAAAATTCGGATGTTGATAAAATCGTATCAGTTTCGTATGAGGAAAACAGTCAATTATCTGCTAAAAAGGAGAAAACAATAATTAATTATGATAAAGAAGAAAATAATACAGATACTGATACAGTCGATGAAATTCATCAAAATGAAGACTTTAATGAGAATGACAGGTCCAGTAATATAATTAAAGAAAAGGACATAATTAATAAAACAACTGGAATGGATACATTTCCCACCACTGAAACAGTTACAACTATAGAAAACTATAGCGAAATTACAACAAATATTATTGAAACAAAAACAGAAGAAAGCCGTGTATTGAGTTCAGAAACAACAACGGTATATTCTGCAAACTCTATTCCAATCGAACTAACTGAGGGCAGCGATGAAAGCACCATTGAGACATCAAACACAGGAATTGAAAACGTTGATGAAGATAAATCGAATATCAAAACTTCAACAGTAACTTCGGATATTGAGGAGATCATATCAGAAGAGGTTTTTTAAACTACAACTTCTACAGAAGTGGATGAAAATGACCTTAATCTTAAAATATTATCTTATAAGTAATCTATTTAGATATATTAGAAAACGTGAAGTGAATATATTAGGTATGTAAAAAAATAATTCAAAATATTATGTACAAATAAAAATTAAAGATTGCGTATTTATTTATTAGAATTCCTATTTTAAAATTTGAACTTTTCCTTCATTTGTTTTTTTTTCCTCATAAAGTAAGTATTTGCCATAGTTTCTTCTCTCAACAAGTGGGTTGGCAAACACATTTATTTATTATTTTGAATTGTTATTAGGAAAATTGTACTGCCTATTTCCTGTTTCATTTTACTCTGTCGCCTTTTACGATACTCAAGCGATAGTAAGGGCTATCAACCATCAGCAACTGAAAGCGTTCACTGAGATACAATGATACATTGAACGCTCCTTGCCCAGGTTAGCTGACTTCTGTTTGCATTGAAGAGACGTGCTTGTGATTTGCATCAAGTACCTCTGTTTGAAAAAAATGTCTTCAAAAGACATACACAGTGACTTAGTGGAAACATTGGGGGACTCTGCTCCTCCATATTCTACAGTTGCACGCTGGACCAAGGAGTTTAAACTGGGCAGAACATCCACTGAAGATGAACATCGCGAAGGACGCCCATCCACGTCCCTCACTGAAGACAACGTGAAAAAAGTCGAAGATGTTGTGTTGGCAGATCGAACAGTGACCATCAGGCATGTAGCTGAGGTCACAGGGATCTCATATGGCAGTGTTCAAAGAATCCTTGGGAACGAGTTGCACATGAAAAAGGTCTCTGCTCGTATATACCTACTGGGTAGGTATTAGTAACTAAATAGATATTTTTTTACCCAATCACAATAACTAATGAGAGGTATTGTGATTATTTGTGATTAGTAATACTGAGTGGGTATTAATAATACATAATACATAAACACTCACGCCTGTCACCCAGAGGGGTAGGCAGAGACTATGGACTTCCATTTGGTACGATCCTGACATACCTCTTTCTTTACATCCATATATCTACGTATACATGCTCGTCGGTTAAGGGTACTTCTAACGTGGCCCCTTTTCAAAATATCGCCAATTTGGTCGATAAACTTTTTTCTAGGGCGTCCCTTCCCGACACAGCCGTTCACATCTGCCATATAAATTTGCTTTGTCACTCTTTCCTCATTCATTCTTTCTACATGACCAAACCACCGAAGCATTCCTTTCTTAATCCTGGTCACAACATCATCTTGCATACCACATTTATCTCTTATCACGCAATTTCTCACCCTGTCATTCAGATTCAACCCTAGCATACTCCTTAAAGACCGCATTTCTACAGCATTTATTCTACTTTCGTGCTTCTTCTGCCACACCCAGCTTTCACTACCATACATTAAAGTAGGGACTAACACCGCTTTATGAATTACCATACGTGCCTTTTTTGACACATTCTGGTTCTTCATAATAGAGTGCAGTGCCCCATTCACTCTATTCCCTGCATTTACTCGTCGTTCTATATCCCTATCATATCTACCATCCCTGCTAAATACACGTCCCAAATACACAAACTCATCCACTTGCTCAATTAACTCTCCTTCTATTCTTATTTCACATACCGTTTTCTTTCTTCTCTTTCAAAAACCATCACTTTCGTCTTACTTGCGTTCACTTTCATTCCCCTTTCTTTTAATTCCCAGTTCATTAATGTAACCATCATTTGCAACTCAGCCGCCGATGACGCAAATATGACTTGATTATCGGCATACAAAAGGCATTTGACGGTTAACTCGCCCATTCTTAACCCACATTCTTCATCTTTCAAAGTTTGCAAACACCTGTCCAAAAATAGGTTGAACAGCCAAGGGGAAGCTACACAGCCCTGTCTGACACCTTTTTGGATGCCAAACCAGTCCGAGTAGACCCCATTGATCCTGACACAAGCACTAGAGTCCCTATAAAGAGACCTTAATGCCTGTATCAAACCAGCGCTCAACCCATATGAGTTCAGTGTTTGCCATAACACATTCCTGTCCACTCTGTCATAAGCCTTTTCCAAGTCCATGAAAGCACAAAAAACATTCGCATGGAAAAGACTTGATCTGTACACCCCATTCCCTTTCTAAAACCCGCTTGCACATTCCAAATTTTTCCATCAGTTTCTTTCATAACTCTTTCAATTAACACCTTAGCATACAAATTACCCACAATACTAAGCAAGCTGATATCACGGTAGTTTTTGCAGTCCTGCTGTGACCCTTTTCCCTTATATATTGGTACTATAACTGCTTTACACCAGTCATCCGGTACCCGTTTTAATTCCCAACATAAATTAAACAAGGTGTACAGCAGGCCTGCCACCACTCCCTCTCCAGCCCTTAGCATCTCGAGTGATACTCTATCATATCCAGCTGCCTTACCTGCTTTCATGCTTTTCATTGCTTTCATTATTGCATCTACACTTATCTCCATACCCCTTTCCACTTCTTTCGAAATTTCTAGTTCATTTAATTCAGACGACTCTTCACTCATAAACACGCTTTCAAAGTATTCCTTCCATCTGTTTAAATTCGAAACTTCATCATTCAGAATACATCCATTCTCGTCTCTTATAGCATTCATTATAGGCTGTTTTGTATTTCCCCTGGCAGTTCCTACGAGTTTCCAGAACATTTTTATGTTAGCCTGGAAATTATCAGATATCCTTCTATCATTCTTATCCGTTCTTTCTTTCTTTTTCCTTTCAACAACTTCTTTTACTCTCTTATTTAGACGTCTAAATTCTGCCTTTTTTCTTTCAATCTCATCATTCATACCAGAAGAATTACCAGCTTTGGTTGCTAGTAAATCTAACCATGCTTTCTTCTTTGATTCAACTTCCACCCGTACCTCATCATCCCACCACAATATATTACTTTTCCTTTCATTTGTTCTCTTACTTACACCACATACTCCGGTGGCGGCTTCCACCAAACCTTTCTTAATATTATACCACACAGTATTCAAGTCTAAATCATTCATACACAACTCATTCAAACATCTAATATTTCCTCTCAGTCTACATTTATACTTCTCTTTCACATCTTCATCTTGTAACTTCTCTATTCTTATACGCTGTAACGCAGTGGTAGACACAGATGTCCGATGTCGCCAACGCTTGAAAAGACCATTAATTCGACACAAGACCAAGTAATGATCCGTCCCTACGTTGGAGCCCCGGTAAACCCTTGTATCTACGACTGCGCTCCTCATTCTTTCATCCACAATTACGAAATCTATCATGCTTCTATCGTCACCTCTTTCCCATGTACACATGTGAATCTTCTTATGACGAAAAAAAATATTCGTCACAAAAAGATTCTTTTCCACACATACGGTGAGGAGGTCTTCACCATTTTCATTTATACTTTCATCACCAAAGGTTCCCAATATCCTTTCATAACCAGACCTCTTCACCCCAACCCTTCCATTAAAGTCTCCTAACATATAATATTTTCATTTTCCTTACATTTTGTCAACACCATCCTTACCATGTCCCAAAACTGCTCTCGGATGTAAGTGGGCTTAGACATGTCTGGGGCGTACACCCCTAGCAGAAACAGCTTCTTTAAGCCCACTTTCATTCGTATCCATAGCAGCCTCGGGCTTACACATTCATACTCTATCACACATTGACCCATTCTTTCTGAAAGGATGAAACCGACTCCCTGGCATGCCCGTTCGGTCTCGTTTACACCAGACCAATACGCGGTATACGTGCCATGTGCAGTGGCATCCTTTCCCTTTCATTTCGTCTCATTCACACATTTTTAACACATCTATTCCTCTGTCATTCATCATTTCGCATACTTCATCCATCTTATCATTCATTCCTCCACATACATTCAACGTAGCCAGACGGGTTTCCGCAATCCATTTTTCGCCCCGGGTATTAATAAATAGAACAAAATAAAATATAAAGTCAATTTTATTATCTTGAATGTAAAAAATTGATTAAAATTTTTTAACTTCTTAATAGACCGGGAGCTGGTGACAGGTGACGTTCCACGATTTTGTCGTGCATGCCTTTTTAAGGATTGATAACTAACCCTAAAATATCAAAGATTGTCGGGGCTTTAGCCCCCCCGCGCGTCCTCTTCATAAGGAAAAGCGCTTTTCTTTGTGTAGCGAATTTTCGTTTTTTTCCATGATAGTATACTGCATGCCATTGTAATATACGGAAGTTCAAGCAAATTGAAGCTACACACTGTATAATAATTAATGGCATGCACCCCGCAGCGGCCCAAGATGATCAAAGGGTTCTGAAAACCTGAAACAAATTAAAGGGCAATTCCGTGTTTTCAAATTGCATGCCGATGTAAAGAATGGAAGTTTTTGTAATAAAAACACTCTGGAAAAATTGGCATGCACCCCTCGTATGACCAACGGTGGAAAATTTCCGGAAAACTCTGTAAAATTGAACTCCGATTTTCCGTGATTCCAAACTGCATGCCATTGAAAGTATCAATTAAACACAAACCACACTCCCCCCCCCCCCCCTCTCCCAACAACTTAATTTGTATCATTATTTAATAGTAGGAAATTTGGCATGCACACCAGGATGTTGCAAAATAGAGGCATGTATGGCGAAAGTTGCAATAAACACTGTGCAAATTTAGGTGACTTGTTTTTCATGCCGTTTTGTATTTCATGAATTTAAATTATTTCAAGTCATGAAAGTAAATGGCATGCATGTAGCTACAGCCCAACATACCAAATTTTCAATTGAAACAAAAAAATGAAAAATTGTGACTTCTTCTTGCATGCCGCTTTGTATCGTGTTAGTAGATACTATTTTAAGCCGAAATGCGAAATGGCATGCATGTAGCTTCATGAAAATTGTTTAAATAAACAAAAAAAAAACGAGGTTTAGTATTTTATAAGAGTAAGATAAGTTATATATGAAATAAATATTAACAAAATTTATTTTAATATAATTATAGGATTATTGATAAGCTGCATTTTTCTCATTGCATCATCAATGTTGATAAAAATAAATTTGGAGCGCATTTTCGAATTTGAAAACCTTGCGAATCTAAAAGTATTGTTGAAATTATTATTAATAATTGAAAATAATTTGATAAAATCAGAAAGCACTGAAAATAAGTTTCTATCGAATTTTATAAGACTTTTATGTGAAAAAATTTAAGTTTTTTAATTTAATCATTTTTGAAGTTCGAATTTCGCGCTCAAGTCCCGCATTTTAGGGGCGCCCATGTAAATTCACCCTTGTATTTCTTTTTACTCATGCTTTTATCTTTTCACATTGGAGGTCATTATTCTACTAGAAATTTCATTACTGTACGATCAGTTGTTTTTACGTATGTTTAACAAATACGTAAAATCAGAATGATAACTGAAAAATATGTTTTTCTTTAATTTTCATAGCTCCAAAAGAAAGCGGCGCTAACGACGAGGAAGTCATATCGATGTATCCAAATTTTGATGATGAAGAGGATGACGAATCGAATAATGACGATGACAGCGATTGCCAATCCGATATTGGCTACACAACGGAAGAAGAGTACGTACATAGCTGCTATGATGATGATGATAATGATAATGATAATGTCGATAATGATGATGAAGCGGTTGATGATAATGATAATTAATAATACTTCACGTTTAAAATAATGATGCTGCTAATAAGTTTTTACTTTCATTTTTCATAAAAAATTTTGAATTTTTTTTTATAAAATCGGACCATTTTTTGTTTATTTAATCAATTTTCATAAAGCTACATGCATGCCATTCTGCATTTCAACTTGAAATAGTATCTACTAACAAAATACAATCATCATAATCATCATCATCATTACAGCCTTTCACAAGTCCACTGCTGAACATAGGCCTCCCCCAAGTAACACGGCACGGTCCTTAGCCACCTGCATCCATCGAATTCCTGCATATCTTACCAGGTCGTCACTCCATCTAGTGGGGGGACGCCCTACACTAAGCCTACTGGTACGAGGCTTCCACTCGAGAACCTTTCTTCCCCATCGGTTATCGGTTCTTCGAGCTATATTGGGCTATGTCGGTCACTCCGGTTTTACTGCGGATATCCTCATTTCTAGTCTATCACGCAGAAAAACTCCGAGCATAGCCCTCTCCATAGCTCGCTGAGCGACCTTGAGCGTCCTCATACGGCCAGCAGTAAAGGACCACGTCTCAGATCCGTAAGTCATCACTGGCAACACGCACTGGTTGTGCACTTTAGTTTTCAGAGATTGAGGTATACCTGACGATAAGATGTGTTGTAATTTCCCGAACGCTGCCCAGCCGAGTTGAATCCGTCGATTGACCTCTCGGTTGAATTTGGACTTACATAGTCGGACTATTTGTCCCAGGTAAACGTATTCGTCAACAACTTCGAGCATAGTGCTCCCAACAACTACCGGCATAGGTGTGACATGGACATTAGACATGATATTTGTTTTGTCCATGTTCATCTTAAGACCTATCCGTTGGGAGACAACATTGAGGTCATTGAGAATTGTGCTTAGGTCCTCCAGCGATTCTACCATAAGGACTATATCGTCTGCAAATCGAAGGTGAGCGATGTACTCGCCATTGATTTTAATACCGTATCCTTTCCAGTCCAGTAGCTTGAAAACGGCTTCCAATGCAGCGGTGAAGAGTTTCGGGGATATAACGTCACCCTGTCTTACACCTCTCTGCAGTTGGATAGATTTCGAACTCTGGTTCTGTACTCGGATAGCCATCGTAGTTCTACTGTACAAACACTTCAGCACTTCGATATACCGATAGTCAACTTGGCACCACTGAAGGGACTGTAGCACCGCCCAAATTTCGACGGAATCAAAGGCTTTCTCATAGTCCACATACGCTAGGTAAAGTGGCAGATTTTACTCTTCGGTCTTCTGTACAATCTACCGCGGGGTATGTATGTGGTCTATGGTACTGAAGGCTTTTCGGAAACCGGCTTGTTCGGGAGGCTGGAAGTCGTCGAGTCTGCGTGCGAGACGATTCGTAATGACTCTCGAAAACAGCACGTAGACGCGGCTCAGAAGAGATATCGGTCTGTAGTTCTTCAAGAGGGCGTTGTCACCTTTCTTGAAGAACAAGACCACCGCACTTCTGCTCCACGCCTCCGGAGTAGTGCCACCATGGAGGACGGAATTGAAAAGCTTCTGAAGGACTTCAAGTACCGGTGTTCCACCCGCTTTCAGAAGCTCCGCTGTAATTCCATCCTCGCCTGGGGCCCTGCCGTTTTTAAGGTGCTGGAGAGCCATTCTAATTTCGCTCAGACTGATGTCCGGGATATCATCGGAATAGTGTCGGATAAGACTTGCTCTTGGATCTTTACTCACACTTGCGTGTGGCTCCAACGATGATGTGTACAGCTGCCCATAGAACCTCTCAATTTCACTCAAAATCTCAGTTGTCCCGGAAACAATGCTGCCACACTCACTCTTCAGCTTTGACAGTTGGCTCTTTCTGGCAGACAGATCTCTGGCAAAGACTTTGGAGCCCTGGTTCCGCTCGATCGCTTTTTTAATACGAGCAGTATTAAAGTTGCGTAAGTCTCGCCGCATGCATTTGGAGATCTGTCTGTTCAGTTGCCTGTATGCTGTCAAATCTGTTGAAGATTGCAGCCTCATCTCTCGTCTAACAGACATGAGATTAAGAGTGTGATCGAAGAGTTTTTGTGTTCTTCTGCGGCGAGTCTTGCAGAACTTAGCTCCGACCGCATGGACAGTTTCCACGAGCTTGTTCAATCTCATTACCCTTTCTATTAAGAAAGTGGAATGAAAGTGAACGCAAGTAAGACGAAAGTGATGGTTTTTGAAAGAGAAGAAAGCAAAACGGTATGTGAAATAAGAATAGAAGGAGAGTTAATTGAGCAAATGGACGAGTTTGTGTATTTGGGATGTGTATTTAGCAGGGATGGTAGATATGATAGGGATATAGAACGACGAGTAAATGCAGGGAATAGAGTGAATGGGGCACTACACTCTATCATGAAGAATTAGAATGTGTCAAAAAAGGTACGTATGGTAATTCATAATGCTGTATTAGTCCCTACTTTAATGTATGGTAGTGAAAGCTGGGTGTGGCAGAAGCACGAGTAGAATAAATGCTGTAGAAATGCGGTCTTTAAGGAATATGCTAGGGTTGAATCTGAATGACAGGGTGAGAAATTGCGTGATAAGAGATAAATGTGGTATGCAAGATGATGTTGTGACCAGGATTAAGAAAGGAATGCTTCAGTGGTTTGGTCATGTAGAAAGAATGAATGAGGAAAAAGTAACAAAGCAAATTTATATGGCAGATGTGAACGGCAGAGTCGGGAAGGGAGGCCCTAGAAAAAAGTTTATCGACCAAGTTGGCGATATTTTGAAAATGGGCCACGTTAGAAGTACCCTTAACCGACGAGCGTGTATGCGTAGATATATGGATGTAAAGGAAGGCGAAAGAGGTATGTCAGTATCGTGCCAAATGGAAGTCCGTAGTCTCTGCCTACCCCTCTGGGTGACAGGCGTGAGTGTTTATGTATTTTTATGTATATATTTTAATTACATTTAGATACAAATTACATGAATAATATTTTTTGATCTTATTGACATAATAGATAAAACAGAACTGGTTATTTGAATAAAATTTTAATTTGATATTCAAATTAATCAATCAATCTGTGTGATGCATCTTTGCCAGCGCAGTGGTAGTTTATTGATGCCGTTCTTGAAGAAATCAACTGGACGGGTAAAGAACGAAAGTCTGTTGGCGCAAGGTCTAGTCAGTACCGCCAATGACGGAAAGCTTCCCACCCCAGCTCTTGTAACTTTGAGACCGTCTGTTATGCGGTATGAGGTCATACGGGGACGAGTGATTGACTGGAGCTGGTTGGAGACGTGCAAGCTTCTCTATCACGGTATACAGTTCTTCACAGTTGACAGTCCTACAGTCAAAATTTTATATTCTATGGAAACACTTTCCTTATAATAAAAATAATTATATATATATATTCGGATAAAGAAGGAAGATTGACGACAATAGCTCGTTTACTTGCAAATTTCCCGCGCCTATTTCTGCGCCTATACCTGCGACTGTACATTCATTTAATGATAAATAATTTTCACTACAATCATCGTTTACTATTACAAATTTTTGGTTACATAATTGGCATTTAAACGTAAATTTTGACTCTAAGCCTTTTGTGTTTCTCCAATAAGTTGTAGTTCGGTGAAGCTGCAACCTAATGGACCATGATTTGAAATTTCTATGAAAAGAAGTGGCTGACGTCAAAATTCTTCTTATTATTTTTTTATTACTGGCTTTTTCAACCTCACAAAATATTTGTAACTGCAAAAAAAGAAAACTACGTATAAGTAAGTAAATCAATAATATAGTGTTATGTATGATTCAGACTAAATAAAGTTTCTAAAAATAGACGTAAATAAAGAAATTGCAAATACTAAAAATGCAATAAACTTGTTAATTTTATAGGTAGTAACATATTAAAATAATAAGTTTTTAGGATATTTATGTAAAACATAAAGGTTATATTATGTTCTAACTACGTTCACGCTTGCGCATATAAAACCGCGGAATTTCACTAGTTTCATTATCAAAATAATAATTGACAACGCTACCCTAAGTTTGCTTTGATTTTACCAACTCAAACTCGTTTTAGAAGATCAAAACATAGAAAGATAGGAGACTATATTTTATTTAATATGGTTCATCAAATCCGTAAAAATAGTTTAAAATACTCACACAATAAAATTTTGAAGTGCAGTAAAATATCTGCGACCAACATTTGCACAATTCTGACCTTTACAGACGTTTCACAACTTTTTGCCAGAACCAAAAGTAAGCGTTGGCATGCGACAAAAATCGTACCACAAATAAAATAAAGTCTCTAAGCTCGAGGGGAGAGGAGCCGTGGTTGCTCAGATGGTTAGCGCTCGCTGAAATTTTCACAGTGCACGAGCAAACCGGGTTCGATCCCCGCCGGCACCAATGAAATTGTAATTGCAATTTTAAGTGCTGATCCTTGATCTAGGACCCTTTCAGAAATGAGCGGAAACCGGTGCCCAGGAGTGGGACGTATATAGGCTATAACTTTAAGTTTAACTTTGACTCTAGCTCGAATAGCCTACTAATGAAATTCAAATGATCGGTTTAGGCAAAGTAAGGCTAGGTAAGTAATAGTTCATAAAAGAAGTAGTAAAAAACACGTAAGCGCATCGGTTGGTAGGTACTCAAATAATATTACGAGAACCGACAACACACTACCTCGTACGCACGCATACAGCGTAACGCCGCCCACACTCTGCGCACGCCCCTTTATCATAGAATTCACACAATTTTTGGAATTATTTAAATTAAAAAAAGAAAAACGAACTTAAAAAATTAAATAAAACGTGGAGAATATAGATTTTAAGCTATTGCATAGCTTCTATCGCGGGCCTTGAGCGCGGGGACCGAATCCAGAAATTCCGTAACGAAAAAAAACCTCACGCTCCCTACTCCCGGGCAAAATAAAAATTAAAAAAAGGGAAATAGATTTAAGCTATTGCATAGCTTCTATCCCCTTGAGCGGGGGAGAATAAAATTCCGTAAGAAAAAAACCTCACGCTCCCTACTCCGACGGGCACGGAGGTGTGGCGTTGAAAGCCGTGCATCGTCTAACGTCGTTTCAGTTCGGCAGACTTCGGCACGGTGTTTGTGTGCGTGCGACTAGACGTATGCGTGTACGCTAGCTGCTAACTCAATGATAAAAATTCCTGAATAACCTACATGTATTGTAAGATATTAAAAATATTTTAAACAATATTAACTTCTCATTTATTCAATAAGAGAAAAAAATTGTTTTCTTATCGGTCACCACGCTCAAAAAGTGTAACTTGATTTAATATCAAAGACTTAACTGCATCAATAAAATAAATAAATAATTATAATTGCATAAGTTGGTAAAAAATGCTATGCAATAGCTTTACCGCGGCAGTCACCGAGTGCCACACTTATATTTTTTAAATTATCTATCTATTAGTGTAATCCTCAAACGATTAGAGCGCTGCGTTTAGCAACAGATGCATGTATTCAAGAATTTGTCATTTTTTAAAAGTTGATTTTAAATGTATTTATAGCACATAAAAACAAATTAGAACATTGAACGTGATGATAAGAATACGAACATTAATAATGTGCTTTTAGATGTAGTTTATTTTTCATAACTAATGAGATAATAGAGTCTGAAAAACGCACTTTCGCAACATTTTGGTCAGGGATACACCTTAAGGCGAATTTTTCTTACAACAGGAGAGTCCCATGACTTTTATATTCTGATGACGAAGAATTAATATCATATGCTTAGATTCTATTGTCAGACCTTTGGGAGGAAAATAACAATGAAATAAAGTGCTAGCTAACTAATTTCCAATAATTTCAATGAAGAAAATTATTTGAATATCGAATTTTAATAAAAGTTTTTTTGTTTCTAGCGTATAAATCTAAATACCCAAAACAAGGCCTCAGTGGTTGCTTTTTAATACATACCAGTGTTTACAATATGTTATCATATAATTATAAAAATTGCTAAACAGACAACCATAAACAGTAGACACAAAAAGATAAAAAAAGTAGCATAATAAAGCATATGCAGCAAAAGAACAAAGTGCCAAAGAAAGAAATCTTGATAGCGTTAAGTAGGCTCAAAATTTTGTTTGAAATCAAACAAATAAATATTACAATACATTAGTACATTTCACGTTACTTTGTTTGTCAGTTTCTTTAAAATAGGTACAAACAGTAGATCTCCTGCCACTCAATTTTTTCATATACTTATCAATTTTCACTAAGAATAACACAACGAACTACTTTTTTTTTCACAAAAATAGTCAAAACATAAGCATGTGCCAGTAATTTGCTCGATACTAGATGATGCAATATCATGTCAGGTGTGGCGTAGGAGCGGTGGGCAGGGTCCGGCGCTAATCTCGCGCGCTTTACGGTAACAAGTTTTGACATAAACTGGTTAGGTATCGAGGTGATCCTGCCGAATAATGTTCGGCCGAATATTTGGTTCGGTAAAAGTTCTACCGTACTTTCGGCCGAATATTCGTATTCGGTGAAATCCATATTCGGCCCATCCCTAATTTCAGTTAGATTTATCGAAGAATGTATGTTGCAGTTTGCACTTTTGTTAAAACATTATTGTTCTTATATGTATTATTAGGCTTGTATAAGAATGTCACTATTAATCGAATTCGATCTTCTAAAGCTCGATTTAATCAAGAATCGGTTCTAGTATTTTCGATTGGATACGAATCGGAAATCGATTTTTTTAAGTGAATAGACATTTAACTTTGAACCATGTTCTGTATAATATTAGCCAACATTTCAAGAAATAGAATAAGAATTAAACAAAGTTCGCGTGGTATCTCGTTTTTTATACATTTATTACTAAACCGAGATACAATAATGATTTCTTAAATTTAAGCGAACACTACACATTGAATAAAACTATTATTTACGGATTTTATCCCGTTTAATTACTACTTTAACTTATTTTTATTATCCCGACGTTTCGGGTGCTTTACAGCACCCATGGTTACGAGGGAGACTGAGATGTTTGACGTCCCAATGTCATAGTTAGTCCGGGTACCTTCAGTTTTTGAATATTAATTTTTGGTCCGATTTACGCAAAACGAGCTTCTAGTATCATTAAGTCTTTAAAATTATATTCCGACGTGTCCATTATCACCGTAGCATATTCATTTGATTGTACATTTTGTTGAACGTAGCATTTTCAATAATCATTATTACATACCACTGCAAGAATATTTTTCTTTTTATACAAAATGCAAAAATTATTCATTACACGAATTTTTCCCCATATTACATTAAGCAGAACACAAATATCAAAACTAGCATTTTTTTAATTCCTTGATTTCGCTTAGATTTTCATAAAATATTTTGGCTATTTACTTTGTTTTTTTTTTATTTACTTTGGTTTTCATAAAATCTTAAGGCTATTTTAATTTAATAAATTGGTATCGTTTTTTTTCATGTACTACCATTAATATTCATTACAATTTATAGTGGGCCCAAAAACGATTGTCTCCCTTGGAGAAAAAATTGCACCCCTAAGGCTGGCAAAATAAGGGATGAAGTTTTTAATTTAACTATTAAGACGGCGTGGCGTTGAGATTATGATATTTCTAAGTCCACCTTAAAATACTACTATATACAACTTACTTTAACCTTTTCTTAATAATTGAATGTTGTCTTTTAAACTTTCTTATAATGAAACGCCAGTCAAGTTTACTTTCTTTTATTAAAAACACATAAATAACAATAAATTATTGAATTATAGTATTATTAAATTGCTTGGGAGGTATAACACCAAAATCATTTGCTAAAGCATCTATAAAGAACCTTGTTCCGTTATCAGGATTTCCATTAGTCGTTATGTGATTTGCCTTAGAGTTATTTATGTTATTTTTCCACAGTTCGTTAGGATGTTTGTGAATAGCATTAGTATGGATATGTCCATGGTATACAACTTTTGCCATTGGTAATGGTGGCTTGTTTGGCGGTAAGTATGGATGCTGGTAAGCGTATACAAATGGAATAGCGTAATGTGAGTCATTGCTACTGGGGATATGATCTCCAAAAATAGTATCATGCATATTATTTAAATTCAAACCCAAATCAGCATGAGATCTTAAATGTTGAGCTTTCTCTGTAACTTTTTCGACATGTGTAGGATTTGTTGTTGATTGTACCGGAGGTTTTGTATTTAATTTTTCAGTTAATTTTAGTAAGAAACATTGAAGTATATCTGTATTTTGATTTATTTTACTTAAAATTTCATTGGTTAGGCGTTCCTTTTCATCTTTCTTTAATTCATCATGTGGGCTTTTTGTACACAATGTTTCATCATTAGTCACTTTAGCGGTAGCAATGGAAGAAGATGTAGTAGAATGTTCATTGCTTGCTAAATTTTGAATTTGTAATATACTATTAAATGGATCATTTATAAATTTTAAGTCATCATTTTTCTTTTGTGTTTCTAAATGCATAAAATGTTTCAAAATATCATTCAAACGCCTTTGTTTATTATCAACTCTTTCGCGTAATATTGTTTCAAGTCCTTCTTTTTCTTTATTAAGCTGTTCCAACTGTTGCTCTATTTTCTTTTTTTGTTGTTCTAAAAGTAATTTTATTCTATTTTCTTCTTCTTGAATATGAGTAGAAGTTACATCTTTTTTATCTGGTACCATTGCTAAATCTTTAGTTTTATTTATTTTTTCTATTTTTGATATTTCTGAAACATTAACTAATGATATATATTGCAAACCATTTTTATTGTAAGTTTTATTTATAACTGTATGCATTTCCTTAAATCCTGAATGTGCGTTTGTAAGGTTTTTAGGTAGTATTTTTACGGTAACTTTATAATTGCTTTTGGATGGCGACGGCATTATGGCGTTTACAATTTCAGGAATAGCAACATCTCTTTCTACTGAAGAACTATTTTCCGTTGTAACCCGCATGCCTAGTAATTTTTCTAATTTAAATTGGTTGGTATTACTACCTCTGAGAAAATTGTATTCATTTTCTCTACCAAAATGTATTTGTTTTGATCCCGTAATATCGTCAGTAAAAATATGAGGATATTTTGCCATCAGACCATTGTGTGTAGATTTGGCACCAAATATGTTTGCTAGATAACCTGTTTCAGGATTAGACTCCTCATAAGTATATGGTATTGCTTCATCATTACTTTCTTCTGCGATTACGTCATCTCCAGTATCACTTTCTGGGAGTTCTATCTCCTTTAGTACAGCCCTGTTAGTAAATAAATTTTCGCCTGATACTACAAAAATGTTTTCATCAGAATTTTTATGTGTGTGTGGCATGTGATCAGAAGCAATGATTCTTATTTTGTCTATTTCCCGTTTGTTTCTTTTGTTTTTTAAAAATATTTTTTTTGTTTGCATAGACTTTGTGTTAAGATATCTATTGACTTTTATTTTAGATTTAAGATTTGTAAATTTTTTTACATTCAATGATCGCTTTTTTCTATTAAATAGATTTCCTAAAGTTAAAATTTTGGAAGGCATTAATTCCTTTTTAAAAATATTATTCCCCATAAAACCCAATGGAAGTTCCTTAATTTTGATATCCTTAGTGATGATTTTTATATTTTTAGGGTTATAATCGTAATTGCTGCTCTTGTATTCATAGTTTGATGATAAAGTTCTTTGATTTGGTAATTGTAATATATCGTGGTAAGTTTCATAGGGAATCACTTTTTTATCAAAAATGATCTTGTATGCATTTGAGTGGTAATCTTCATTATCTAATTCTTGAATCGATCGGCGAAGTAAAATATGTTCATTTCTATCTAGGTCAATATTGCGTTTTGTGAGCTCATGATATCTCTCAATGGAATTATTAATATCATTACCGTCAGTGTTTTCGTTATTAGATTGGTCATAGTTTTCATGGTATGTTCTAATTAAATTTTCTAAACCAGAAAATAATTTCATGCTTTCAACATCTGGAGGTTCATCTACATATTGATTAAAACCTACTGAAAACCCACTACCATCAATATCTTTAATAAATAGTGTTACATTGCCTGTATCCGCGTATGTATTTTGACTTTTAGCACTATTAGTTATATCTGTATTTAAAGGTACTTGCAATCTTTGTGGAATACCGCTGTTTAGAACATTGTTATATTCTGAATTAGTATTGCTCATCTCTGCTGAGTTACCTAGGTATGAAGGTGTGAAGAAAATAGGACTGTAGTTTGGTCGATTCCCGTTTTCTTCAGATTTAACTTCCAGATCATGTGACAGGTCATTTAACAATAGCGCTTTACTAATCGGGTTTAGTTGCCTGTGTTCCACGGGATCCCTTTGCATTATATATTTCTTTAAAGTATTTGAATGCTTATGTTTGAGGGGATTTTGATTTCTCTTTTTAATTTGCACTTTTTGTACTTTTTTATTGTTGTTGTTTTCGTGTGAATAGACATCAGATCTTATAGCTTTCTGTATTCTGTCTATTAAATTTCTTACAAGTTTTTTCTTTTTTTCTCCCTTTAAACTTTTTCTGTCAAAATGTGTTTCTATTTCAACGTAAAGATTATCATCACTTTTTTTTGAAATACGAACTGGTTTATTTTTTGGAGTAGTTTCATCATATTCATCGTATCTTATTTTAATGTGCCTTTTTAACCGTTTTGTATCATTTTTGTCTACACTTTCAGGGAGCGATTCTAATTGTTCTTCATGAAATGAATGTTTTTTTAAATATTCTACAGCCTGTTGGAAATAATAAGAATCATTTAAATATTTGTTACTGTCGCTTATACCGTTGCTCGTATTATTACTTTGTCTGCTTTTAAAGTATTGCTCCGGTAATGCACCGGAAATCTGTTTGTCGGTTGATAGATTGTTTTCTCGATTGGCTCTGTTTTCATCCTCCAGTAAGGGCTCTGTTTTTGCTTGATGGTCATTTAATATTTTGTCATTATAAATAATTTTAAGTACGCCTCTGTTTTCAAGAGAACTGTAAAGAAATTGTCAAGTTAAAAGCGGTTTTAGAAACATGTTATGTATGATTATAGTGTTTAAATTCTCTTTGCGCTAGTTTTATTACCCATTATTTTCCTTTCGATCTTTATCAAAAATTAAAGATTTTATTTCAATTATCGTTTTAAAAGATACTTTTGGATCTGTAAAAAACATATTTGAGTAAGAAAATGTCATCTGAAAAAAAAAACGCCTATGACGTTTTTAAAAACGTTTTTTATTTCTTAAGTTTACGTAACGTTAATTCAAATACGAAAATAAAGTGTGTATAGAGCTAAGACACGCTACAATTTAGAAAATAGGATTGTTTAAATAGACTGAAAGCTGAATGACATGAAATGATATTTTATTAAATAAGGATTAAAAAATAATTTGTATTTCATGTGACTATTCATAGATTCGGAAAGATATAGAAAAAAAGCCCAAATAATAAATTAAATTATGCTAAAAGTTTTATTTAAAACAAAAGCTTTACAAACCTTTTTGAAACGGTGTGGTTTTTATAGTAGTTATTTCGTTTTTCTTGTTTCTTCTCATTATTTCTTCTTGAAGTTTCTTGCATTTGACTAATTCATCAAAAAATTTAGTTTCTACATCAGATGAATTCTCTAAATCAGTTACTTTGGTTACCGTATATGATGTTTTTTGGTTTATTTTATTGCTAACTTGCTCTGTTGGTTCAAAACCTGTTAAATAAAACGATGGTTATTTTAATATAGTAAATACTAAGGAGAATTTGCTGTAATCACTTCGCTTAGAAGGTCTCTTTTGAAAAAGATTAGATTTAACGGGAATATTCCTTAAACACGTTTTGTGACAGGCATAATAGGGTAAAGAAATTACGGCTTGAACTAGAGAAAAGCTGAAAGTAATAATGTTTGAAAAGTTAAATGTGAGACACGTCTGCGATTATCAATCTTTCTGCAGAGTGTGACTCCCTCCCTACTACGAGGAACACCCATGAGTTATATTGAAGGCTGATGTCTGGCTTACAATATAACTAAAAATTATTATTAGGTTATGTTGAGAGAACACTATTAATAAAATGTTTTCTATTTTTATCGTATAAAAATTAAATATAAAATAATACTGTTCAGCGCTCATGCCAGCCCTGGCCCGTGCCGATCTTTGAGCTAGAATGTACGCTATTTTAAAATTATCCACGAGGTAAAGTTTTCCTTTGCTACACACCGTATAGTTTAGTCTTAATTAGACGGCAAGGAAATGAAAACAAATATAAGTTAAAAACACTCCAAAAGGTAAGTAAAGCTACACGCGGTACATTCTGCCGATTGACGAACACAAATTTCATTGAAAATTCCATAACAGCCTATAAAAGAACTGAACTGCTAAACATACATCTCCTCCATAGATTGCCTCATAGAAAGGATTTCGCCATAGTTGACACGTTTAAAGATCGGGTTGCCAACCGCAGTTTTTTATAGGATAGGGTGTCAAACGAGCACACATTCCACCTGATGACAAGTGGCTACTGTGGTCCACAGAGATATACATCTATCCTTGATTACGAATCAAAATGCAGATGCGTTGTCACCCGTGAGGACCAAGATGGAACGCATCGCCTCCAGTAAAAAGGGTATCTGGTTCACACTCACCATACGAAACACAGCAGCATTAAGCTGCTATTTTACGCTGGTGTTCTGTGAAAGCGTGGTCCTTCCCCGGTCGAGCCGACACATTCGTGCTACAACTATAACAGAGGAATAAAAACATAAAAAAAAAAAAAAAAAAAAAAACAACAAAAAAAAACCAATAAAAAAAAAAACTACTAATATAACTGCAGCATGGCTCTACCACGTTAAAAATTATTTTAAGTTGTTATCGGGAAGATGCTGCTACCCATCCTGTTTTGATATCCCTCTGTCGCTTCCTACGACACCTACGGGACGGGACGGTAAAATGGGATATTCTTAAACCGCCACTATACGGCGGTGTAAGAATATCCCCTTATCGAAAATGTTGAATGTAAATATTACAAGCTTGGTAATGAGAAATATCATTATTAGTGCGAGAGTCATCATCATCAACTCAGCTTACCAATCCATCGTGATGTGTGAAGGCAAATCACTTAAGATATACGTCAATAAATGTAATTTTAGAAACACCTTTAATGGATTCAAATATTTCACACGCTAAATTTGTAGTTTATTATAGGTGTATTGGTATTTAAATTTAAATGCATGCACCCCTAATGTCTTTTTAATGAATCGCATGTTAAATTAAATCTCCCCCTGTTTTTTTTTACTTTACTACTATGAAATTAAAACTCATTTGAGAGTTTGTTACAAGGTGTCAAAGAATCTCACTCATTTTGTTCAACTAAATTCACATTGAACTACGATTGAGTATTTAAATATATAAAAGAATGCATTGTGTACAAATAAAATAAAAGCAATTTATTAGTACCCGGATGATCGAGCTTTGCTCGGTTTTTTTAAGTTACATTTAGATACAAATTACAAGAATATTATTTTTTGATCTTATTGACATAATAGAAAAAAAAACTGAACTGGTTATTTGAATGAAAATCATGAGTGCAATTAGTTTAATTAAAATTTTTCTTATTTTTAAAAATTACTAAAAAAAAGAGCTCTAATTTTTGACGACCACATGGCCGTGGTAGAGATCTTGGCAATAAGTTTGGGAGTCCCGAGATTCAACTTCATTAACTATCATTGGTATAATCTTCAGAAGTGGATTTATAAGGTCTGATAATGAAAGAAGAAAAATAAAAAGACAAAATTGTTTATTCTAGGCTCTTGGAGTGATGTAACTGTAACTGTGTGACAGGCTGCGACCTGGTCTTGTAACTCCACCTGGCATACTATTTACCCATGTAGTCTTAAAACATTGAATGCGCATACATGCGCAATACTTACGTCATTGCTGTGGAAAGCCCATCAAATGAATTGCGTTAACCAATAATTTATCATTAATCATTATATTTTTATTGTTAAAAACAATTACGCTTAAACGCAAGTTTTTTATTTGTTACCTTTCATATTTTTCCCATTGCTGAATTTTTTTTCCAATTTATTGATTTTTTTATACACTTCATTTAAATCCATATGTCCTATGATTCCTTGAAGGAGAATATTGTGCATAGCTAGGTGTAATAAATCTTTATCGTCTTTCTTATTGCTTTCGCCTTCATTATCATATGTCAGTTTGCTCTCACTTGGATATTTAATATATTCGTCTTCTACAGATTTCTTAATATCATCTATTGCGATAAATGATTTTTCGCTTTTGTAAGTATCTTCTATTGAATCTTCTTCCTTATCTAACTGTTCAAGAAGCTTAGCGAGTCGAGTAGTTAGAACTTTTTTTATTTTAGGGTTTTTCAAATGTGTAAGAAAATTAGAAGAATCTGTAAAATTATTAGATTATAATTTTATTGTATGCCAATTTGGAAAATTCGAAAAACAATGGTAATAAATTTGGAAGGAAGTCCAATCTGAATTTAATCTCATAAAAATATTCCAATTTTTACTAAATTGCTGATTCTATGATAGTATATCTTAGTCGTTTCCCTTAAGAACTTTTCTCCACCAGATATTCAAGTAGTCCATGCCAAAGAATTAACACCCCAGGGAGAAAATATTCTTTAATGGCAGCCACATACCAGCGAAGGCAGTGTAGTACGATGCTGTCACAAGAACAAATCAATGGATGTTGGTTACTCATGATTATGCTTGAGATGAGCTGAGGCTTTATTTAATAAAGTACTTATGTGGATAAAGACTATAATAAAAATGATAATGAAGGAAGCTCTGACTATCTCTCTCAATAATCATAGTTCAAAATGACCATTTTTATCAAATCATTAAATTTGATTTTAGAAGTAATAATGCATCGTTATTTAATTCCTATCATCGTGGATTTTACGATCAGAATTGCTGTATTATATAGTTTATATGTATCCTACCCATTGGTCGTTTGTCCTTAAATTTGTTTCTAGTTGGTAATCTACATAGTTCTTAATTATTATCACATATTAACTACAATTGTTGCAATCGTTGCAAAGCATTTTTTGTCAGAAATATTTGTGAGTGCAGGCTGAACAACTTATCAAAGTTTCATACTTGTCAGATGAATGGTATAGGAACGCATACGAGATAATTAATGAGAGCTTATTATTATTTATATGTTTTTGCTGTAATGGTTTATATTTATCTTACCTAGTGATCGTTTTGTTCTATGAGGTGTTTCTGGTTGGTCATCTATATAGTTATTATCATATATGCTTTCAAGTGTAGCGCCAAACGGGGGATCTGTTGTTTCTTTATTATCTCCATTTAAATTTAAACTAGGTTTTTCAGCAGTTTCATCGTTTTGTTTGTCTAAAAATGTAACGTTCTCTGTTATATTATTAATTATTTATTGATTTATCACTACCTACTCCACAAAATTAGAAATACAACAAACAATAACGTTATTTGTGATAAAATATCCAGCCCAGTTAAAGATTTTTAGACCAATTCCATATAATTATAGAGGACCAGAATAATGGTTTAAGACAGCATTATCTTTGATAGTATACATTATAATCAACATATTGCAAACGGCTAGTTAACTTTACTTCAAACCAAATCTATTAGATTTAACTCTCCTGTAAGTAATTTGATTGAGATAATTGTCGTTGTATAGCTTTTGACATACAGATGTTCACGACAGGCACCAACTAACCCTCATCTTGTCTTACTCATTACTAATCCCTCTCTCTACTTAACTCTACTAACCTCTACTTAATTCAAATTAGAGATAAACGCGACTATAATACCTCTCCTGAAGTGGTGAAGGGTAGCAAGATAACCATTGCGAGTTTACCAGGTTATTCAGGTCCTGTGGTTGCCAACCTTTGTTGGTTGCAATACCCAGTATGCATTATAGTTAATATGGGTATGTAGGGTGTATCCAATGATTTATCCATTGGATATACACTTTTTCAAAAATAATGGATTTAAAGGGAAAAGAGTTAGTAGATTTTTTATAAAATGTAAAATCATTTTACGAAGTCAAAAATTTGACATTTTAAATTGCGGGGAAATTAGCGCATATGATGATCAAAGAAAAAAAAACCATTTAACTAGCTATTGATTTAATTAAATATTTACCTTTCTTGGACAACAATCCATCGATATCGATAAACACGTTTGTCAGTATCACGGTGAACGTGAATGCCGTGGCAAGCAATGTCACACAGAACACTCTGTAGAAGACTCCGTCGTAGTCGCATCGTGTCATATATAGGCAGTATGCTTTTATGTCCTTTAACAATAAATTTGAAGTATTGTCTGTAACAAAAAAAAATCTGTTGAAGCCATTGGATATAAATGAGTATAATAAGTCTATGGTTGAAGTTCACGACTCCTAGGCAGAAAAAAAATCCCACCGCCTACTTTATCGGTAAAGCATCATTGCACTAGATGCTGTGTCTCGTTTCGAAGAGTGGGGGGTTACTATGATTACAGACTGGGTGTTATAATTTATATTAGGGTTCGGGAGTAAAAACACCTCTTTAACTTCTTTGTTTAAAATTGGGTATAATGTCCATAGAATCAATTAATAACGACCAAAAATACTAATATATAAGTATAACGATATAAAAAGGGGAAGGTTCTTTAAAGTGGTCAAGGCGGATAAAGTGGCCACCTTCTTTTTAAGAACCAACTAAGTAGCGTCATTTGTCAATGCTGGAAAATATTCATTGGCCGACGCCATATTGCTCCAGTAAACACAGACGCGCTCAGTTCACGCGGACAGATTTTATGACATAAAAGTTGGTTTTTGTGGTCTCTGATCTAAGGTAAGGTAAGGTTTAAATATTATAATAATTTACTTCGTTCAATATAAATAAAAACAATGTAATATTTTATCAGTTAATCCCTTTAATGAACTATTTATTTCACGGTAAAGAGGGACAATATAACCTCATTTGATATTTGAATCGTTTTTTTTCCGTCGCGTGCCATTTTGGATAAAGTAGCCCACTAGGCCACATTCGTGCTAATTTTTCTTGTAAATATAAATAATATTTTGTCGCGTTTTAGATATGCCAAATACGAGAACATATAAACGGACGTCGCAGCGTTGGATATGGGACTCGATTACGTTGGAAAAAGCCACAAGATAACGAAGAAATGGGAAGTTTGTTCTTAAGAATATATGTGTGGAATTAATGAACAATGAAAAGTAATGCCGCAGAAAAATATTGCCGCAGAAAAATAATGCCCTGCGGCAGATTGTACAGAAGACCGAAGAGTACAATCTGCTTCTTTGCCTGGCGTATGTGGACTATGAGAAAGCCTTTGATTCTGTCGAAATTTGGGCGGTGCTACAGCCCCTTCAGCGGTGCCAAGTTGACTGTCGGTATATCGAAGTGCTGAAGTATTTGTACAGTAGGGATACGATGGCTATCCGAGTACAGAACCAGAGTTCGAAACCTATCCAACTGAAGAGAGGTGTTAAGACAGGGTGACATTATATCCCGAAACCCTTGACCGCTGCATTGGAAGATGTTTTCAAGTAACTTGACTGGAAAGGATACGGTATTAACATCAATGGCGAGTATATCATTCACCTTCGATTTGCCGACGATATAGTCCTTATGGCAGAATCGCTGGAGGACCTAAGCACTATGCTCAATGACCTCAATGGCGTCTCTCAACGGATAGGTCTTAAGATGAACATGGACAAAACAAAGATCATGTTTAATGCATGTCACTTTGGTAGTTGTTGGGAGCACTATGCTCGAAGTTGTTGACGAGTTCGTTTACCTGGGAAAAATAGTCCGACTAGGTAAGTCCAACTTCGACCGAGAGGTCAATCGACGGATTCAACTTGGCTGGGCAGCGTTCAGGAAATTACGACACATCTTCTGGTCAGGTATACCTCAATCTCTGAAAACTAGAATGTACAACCAGTGCGTGTTGTCAGTGATGACTTACGGATCTGAGACGTGGTCCTTCATTGCTGGCCGTATGGGGACGCTCAAGGTCGCTCAGCGAGCTATGGAGAGGGCTATGCTCGTAGTTTCTATGCGTGATAGACTCAGAAATGAGAATATCCGCAGTAAAACCAGAGTGACTGACATAGCCCAACGGATTAGTAAGCTAAAGTGGCAATGGGCCGGCTATATAGCGCAGCATAATGTTCAGCAGTGGACTTGTGAAGGGCTGTAATGATGACGACGTTGATGATGAAAAATAATGAATAATTAATAAAGTTTTAGTCCCTTAGTCGCATTTGATTATTTTCAAATTTAAATAAAACTTAATAATTGCATTTTATTGAGACTATGCCACTTTACTCGCTTTGAGGGTTCAAGTTGGCCATTTTACCCAACCTGGGTGGGTAAGGTGGTCAATTTTTCATTTCGGCTTTTACCTTGAAAATACTATAAAATGTCTTGATATAAGTCAAAATAAGAATGTGATGTCAAAACTACATTAGTTTGAGAAAATACATTAATAAAGTAACCTACAAACTTTTGATATTTATCCAATAGGTAGTCATTCATTTCAATTCAAGCTAGGGTGGCCACTTTACCCGACCTTCCCTACCGATATTTAAAATAATAACTAAGTCTCTAATAGTTCACCTATGCAGGTGGATATGCATTATAAATCAGATTGTATATAGCCTTATATGTGTTTGGATTAAAAAAAGATAGAACGAAATTATATAAGTTTGTACAATAGAATAAATAAAACTTAAATATTTTTGTATGCTTGCCTCATATATATTAAAATATGTAAAAGCTTATTTTTTTAAGGAATAAGGATGACAAACAAGCACACAGTCCACCTGATGGTAAATGGATGCTGTGGCCCATAGACATCTACATTTATCTTCAATTAAAAATCTAAATGCAGGCGCGTTGCCAGCCCTGAGGACTGAGATGGAATGCCTAGTTTCCAGTAAAAAGTGTTACCGGTTCTCTACACTCACCATACCAAACACATCAGCACATCTGTTCTGTAACCTTGTCATGTCTACACTCTCTGCTAAGCACAATTCCTAAGTACATAAACTCATTCCTTGCTCGACTAGCTACCCTTATGTTTTATTTCATGATTGCAATGGAATTTTGTTTTAAATGAAATTAATTATACGGATTTTATCGCATTTAATTTAACTTTTTTCTTCCCGACGTTTCGGGTGCTTCCGTTCGATCTACGCAGACCAAAAATAAATATTAAAAACTGAAGGTATCCTGGCTAACTATGAGATCGGTACGTCAAACACCTCAGTCCCCCCATGACCATGATTGCTGTGAAGCACCCGAAACATAGAGAATTAAAAAGTTAAATTAAACGCGATGAAATAATGTGTAGTGTTCGCATAAATATATTTTTTAGGTAAGTGTTTGCTGTGGCCCATAGACATCCACATCTATTCTCGATTGAGGATCAAAACGTAGACTCGTTGTCATCCGTGAGGATGCCTCGTTACCAGTAAAAAGGGTCTCCGGTTCTTTACACTCACCATATGAAACACAGTGGCGTTCAGCTGCTATTTTACGCTAGTACTCTGTGAGAGCGTGATCCTGCCCCGGTCGAGTCGACTCATTCGTGCTATAACTATACTATTAATATAGCTGCAACATAGCTCTACTACGTCTAAAAAATATAAGAAATCATTGTGGAATTTTCTTATTCAATTGTCACACACATACAGTTCTGAACAATTTAAAATTGCAGGTGTATTACGAACTTATGAGAATATAATATCTTTATGACTATGAACACTAGGTGTAGTGAGAGTACCTACATACTAACTCTCACAAGGATCATCACAGCTCATGGATAAAGCGTGTTGTTTATGTTTGCTTCAATCATCCATCATCATTGCAGCCTATAAACAGTCCACTACTGGACATAGGCCTCCTCCATAGATTGTCTCATAGGAGGGATTTTGCCACAGCTGTCACGTTTGCCTGGCGGGATGGCAACCGCAGTTTTACCACAATTTTTGCATTGTTATTAGGAAGATGCTACTGCCCATCTTCTATTTCACTTTCCCTTGTTCGTCTCTTTCGACACCCACGGGATGATATAAGGTAGTGGATATTCTAAAGCCGCCATAAACAATATAAGGTTTGATTAAACTGTAATATTATTTATACTAAAATTGTAAATTAAAAAAAAAACTGAATGGTAGTATCATAAGTAAATAAATAATCTATTCTTTAAGTGTCTAAATAATCTGTTTAGAAATATACTCACCAGATCTGCACCAATATTATAAATGCCTTTACGGATACCTTTGATAAATCTTCTATACACTAGTAAGTATCGTGCTTGACTAACTTTTGAACGTTATTGTTCTTTACTGCGACCAGACCCGTGTTTAATAAACATAGTTTTACGCCGACCATTGACGCTTTTTTCTTTTACCTTTTTTACAACTTTTTATACACTTTTAACACACTTTTTTAGATTTTTTTATCTTTTCTATATACTTTTTTTAACACACTTCTTAAGTTTATTTAATGTTTTTAGAAAATAATAAAAAGGTGAGCCTTATTGACTTTTTAGTTAAGCGCAAGTGTTGTAAAATTGAAATAATTTTTTTTTACATTGAAATTTACGATTTTGTAACTTCGCAAATTATATGGGCTTAGCATGTAGATACAGCATATGTTGTTAGATTGCGGATAAAATACATTCAACGAACTGTTTAAAAAAATTTAAAACAAGTGACTCTTTAAACTAGGTTCGTAATGATTGCTTATAATCTTACGGTCAAAAGATGTCGCTAGTTGATACTGAGGTGAAGTTTTATAAAAGTTTATGAGTTTCTAGAGTATTATGTTAATACACAAAACAATGACCCAGTGATTTGTTGGTTAATTTTTTGCACATTTTCAACAATATATTTAATTTTTCTATTTTTATTAATATCTGTGGTTGGGTTTATTTATTATTAATTTAATTAATATAAATTATAACTAATGGTACTGAAAAAAACATTACAATTTTCGAAAAAATTTACTTCCCCACTATGAAATCTGTCAAATATTTTACCTCATTTTAAAGTAGTGCCGCCCTGGTGGCAGAAAAAGTGGACGTTGATGGTAAGTTTATTGGAATGCGTCACCGTTATGTCATGCATGTATCCATTTACGCATCGCATCAAGGTAGGATCTGGGTGGTGTGATTCTATACATTGCCAGCATGTTTATTTCCAATTCTAACTATATACCGAGCTATGATATAGTTTGGCGGCTCTCTTACTACATCAGTAATCAGCCCATGAACGTCCACTGCTGGATCTCAATCAGCCCTCATAC